TCATTACTTTAGCAAGCCTGTGTTGAGTCCCATATGAGCTGGGCTTTGTTCTAGGATTCTGAGAATAAACTAGGTGTTTGCCCTCAAGAAGCTTATATCGAAGTGAAGAGCCCAATATGTAAACAAATACTCATATTCCACTGGGGCTGTGCTATGGAACTATGACCCACAGTGCTCTATGGCCAAAGCGTGGCATCTATCCCAGCCTATCACAATGAGGAAGGGCTCCTGGGTCAGGCGTAAACTCAATCTCAACCTGAACCTTGAACTGAAGCTTTTTTTTTTTTTTTTTTAATTAGCTTTACTGAGGTATATTTTAAATATCACAACATTTAAGTATAAAATTCAGTGCTTTTTGGGTAATTTTACCAAGTGGTGCCATCGTCACCATAAGTCAATTTTAGAACATTCAAATAGTCCCCCAGTCAGATCCCTTTCTCATGCCCATTTACAGGTAATCCCTGTTCCCACTCAGCCCTACACAACCACTAATCTACTCACCGTCTCTATCAATTTGCCTTTTCTGGACATTTTATATAAAGTGGAACCATACACTATTTACTCCCTGTGTCCGGCTTCTTTCACTTACCTTACCACCCTTGAGGTCCATCCATATGGCAGCACCTGTCGTTTGTCTGTCCCTTTGTATTGCTGCATAGTTCTGGCGTATGGGCTTTGCCTATTCATTTCACTAGTCAGTTGATGGACATTTAGGTTGTTTCCAGTTTGGGGCTAATTATGAACAATGCTGCTGTGAGCACTGACTCGCGCATCTTTGCGCAGGCGCATGTTTTCGTTTCTCCAGGGGGGATACCTAAGAGTGGAATTGCTGGATCACATGGTAAGTTTATGTTTAATTTTTTGAGGAACCACCAAACTGTTTTCCAGAGATGCTGCCCCATTTTATGTTCCCACCTGCAATGTAGGAGGGGTCCGTTTCTCCACATCTTAGCTAACATTTGTTATCATGTCATTTTGATCATAATCATTCTAGTAGGTGTGATATAGATCTCATTTGACGTTTGCACTTCCTTAATGACTAATGATGTTGAGCATCTGTTCATGTGCTTGTCAGCTATTGGCATATCTTCTTTGGAGTAATATCTGTTCATATTGTTTGCTCATCTTTTGATTGGGTTGTTTGTCTTATTATTGAGCTGCAGAAGTTCTTTGTAAATACTGGATACAAGTCCTTTATGAGATTCGGTTTTGCAAATCTGTTGTCCAAGTCTATTGTTTACCTTTTCATTTTCTTAATGGTGGCTCTTAAGCACAGAAGTTTTGAACCTTGATGAATTTCACTTTGATTTTTTATTTTATAAACGATGCTAAGAAAGCTTTGCCTGACAAAAAGTTTTGAAGATTTTTTCCATGTATTCTTTCAAGAGTTGTATAGTTTTAGCTCTTACATTTAAGTCTATGATCCGTTTTGAGTTAATTTTTGTATATGGTGTGAGGTAAGGGTCTAAGTTTTTCCTTTTGCAAGTAGACGAACAGCCAATTGTCCCAGCACTATTTGTTAAATAGACTATCTTTCCTCCAATGAACTGCCATGACTTTGTTGTCAAAAATCAATTGACTGTAAATGTAAGGGTTTATTTCTAGACTCTCAATTCTGTTCCATTGACCTGTATGCCAGTCCCACTCTGTCTTGACAACTGTAGCTTTATAGTGAGTCTTGAAATCAAGAACTGAAGGTCCTACAACTTCGTTCTTCTTTTTCCAGAACGTTTCGGTTATTCTAGGTGTTTCCCATTACAATATAAATTTTAGGATCAGTTTGCCAGTTTCTGGAAGAAGAAGCGGGCTGGAATTTTGATAGGGATTATGTTGAATCTATAGATCAGTTTGGGGAGTATTGCTATCTTAATATTGTCTTCCAATGTAAGAACATGGAATGTCTCTCCATTTATTTAGAGTTTGATTTCCCTCAGTGAAGTTTTGTAATAGTGTACAAGTCTCGTATTTCTTTTGTTAAATTTATTCCTAAGTATTTTATTCTATCTGATACCATTAGGAATGGAATTATATTCTTTTTTTTTTTTTGCGGTATGCGGGCCTCTCACTGTTGTGGCCTCTCCCATTGCGGAGCAGAGGCTCTGGACGCGCAGGCTCAGCGGTCATGGCTCATGGGCCCAGCCTCTCTGCGGCATGTGGCATCTTCCCGGACCGGGGCACAAACCCGTGTCTCCTGCATCAGCAGGCGGACTCTCAACCACTGCGCCACCAGGGAAGCCCTGGAATTATATTCTTAATTTCATTTTTGCCTTGTTCATTGCTTGCTATGTAGAAATAAAATTGACTTCTGTATATTGATCTTGTATCCTGTGACCTCGTACTTGTTTATTAGTTCTCATTGTATGTTCTTTTACATTCCGTAGGATTTCCTACATATAGAATCATGTCATCTGAGAAAGAAGACAGTGTACTTCTTCCTTTACAGTCTGGGTGCCTCTTGCCTGTTTCTTGTTCCCGTGAGGCTTGTTCCTGTTTGGGGGTGTCTGCCTGAATTGTTCTTCCCCCAGTTGTTCCATGGCTCACTCCCTCACCTACTTAGGTCTTTACTCAAATGTCAACTTCTTGCCAAGGCCTTCTTGGAACACCCTACTTAAATTGAACCCCTCCTCACACCCCACACCTCTAACCCTTTTTCTTGCTTTGTATTTCTCCACAGCACTGACCATCTCAGACTTTATACCTCTCCCTTCTCAAGATGGTCCTGAGAGTTCCAAGAACAAATAATATGGCTGGAAGGAGGGCCTGAGCTGGTGCTTAGCCAGGGTTGGATGAAGGAGGGTCTAGGAGGGGCGTTCTCTGGGACACTCAGACCCCTGCCCCACCCTTGCTGGCTGGGAGGGGAAGGGTCTCCATGCAAATGGGAAGACATTCAGGAGGCAGTAGGTGGGGGTTCCCGGGGAGGCTCATATACACCCATGCCTGCCTAAACAGCCCAGCCACACCCAGACAGGGCCCAGCCTCGACAAGGGATCTACCTGAAGCTTGTTTGCATTTCATTTCACCTGAATAGAAAATGCTGGCGCTCAGGAGATGGGGAGGACAGAGGTAGGCTCCCAGTGACTACCCCAGCTGCCAACCCGCTAGAGGTGATCCTGCCTTTGGAGACTCCACTCTGCCCCTGGGAACCAGGAAAATACATTCCCTATTTGCATGGGGTTAAGGAACGGGATCTCTTTACACCCCCTCCCTTATCTGGAGCTTGTCCCAGAACTAGGACTGGGGTTAGGCGTGTGTGTGTGCGGGGGTGAACCCTGAGCCCAGTCTGAGCATAGGTGGGTGGAGGCTGCAGTGGAAAGAGCCCCCAGCTGGATGTCAGACAATCCTGGGTCCCTGTCCTGCTCTGTGTCTTTGCAGCAGAATGAACTTAAGGCCTGAGAGTCAAGCCCTGGGTGGGTTTCCACCTCCATCAAATAGGCCTAAGGAAGCCCCCTCACCCTGGGTGGGAGGTTTGCTCCCCTACTCTGGGTTTCCATTTCTTCCTCTGTACACCCAGTGTAAGAATACATCCTCCGTACAGCCACTATGGAGAACAGTATGGAAGTTCCTTAAAAAACTAAAAATAGAACTACCATACGACCCAGCAATCCCACTACTGGGCATATACCCTGAGAAAACCATCATTCAAAAACAGTCATATACCACGATGTTCATTGCAGCTCTATTTACAATAGCCAGGACATGGAAGCAACCTAAGTGTCCATCGACAGATGAATGGATAAAGAAGATGTGGCACATATATACAATGGAATATTACTCAGCCATAAAAAGAAACAAAATTGAGTTATTTGTAGCGAGGTGGATGGACCTAGAGTCTGTCATACAGAGTGAAGTAAGTCAGAAAGAGGAAAACGAATACTGTATGCTAACACATATATATGGAATCTAAGGGGAAAAAAAAGGTCATGAACAACCTAGGGGCAAGACGAGAATAAAGACACAGACCTACTAGAGAATGGACTTGAGGATACAGGGAGGGGGAAGGGTAAGCTGGGACGAAGTGAGAGAGTGGCATGGACATATA